ACATTTCTTTGTGGTTTTAAGGTTAACCCGATTGATTTCGGCGTTGATTGAATGTTGCAGGCCCGAAATGGACACTTTCCATTTTCAGAGTAGTGAAACTACAATTACGTTTGAGGATGTAGCTTATCAACTTGGTGCTCGGATTAATGGTGTGACACTAGTGAAGCACAATGACCAATTCCAAGTTGTTGAGTAAGTTTTTGAGAAAGATGCCACCACCAGATGTCTTAGACGAGTACCAGATACAAATAACTTGGTTGGAGTCCGAATTTCATGTAACTGATGACTCTACCGAGGATGAGGTCAAATTTGTAGTCCGAGCGTATCTTCTCCAATTGATGGAGGGATACTGTTACCAGATAAATCCGAGAATTTGGCGTACACTCAGTATCTTTCAATATTGAATAATATTACTGTGTGTCGTAACACTAGTTGGGGCTCTACGATTTTGACATTTTTATATAGAGAACTTTGCAAGGATATAATCGTTGAAATGAGTTAAAAAAACCGATGTAGCGGGTTTTTTAGTCTTGTTACAATCTTGGGCGTGGTATCAATTCCCATTTTTACGCCAATTACAACAGTCCCGATTGAGTTTCCTCTGGCTGAAAGATAATTATTTAACTTTATTTTTTTATTAAATTTTTAAATTTATATGATATCCTTATTTTTTAATTTTGTATTATATTAGTTAGATGGCGACATAAAATTACCAAGACCAAATTGTTGGCTGCAAATGAAAATGATATACGAATGATGATTGATATCATCAGTCAACATGCAATAAATATTATTTTAGTAAATTACTTAAATTTTTATTTATTTATAATTTATACTAACTTTTATAATTTAATTAATGTTTACAGTTTTGTTGGCTTCCGTATTGTGAACATAAGATCTACCAGTTACTGCCACCTGAATTTTTTTAAGGCTCAGAGTTGTGATGTGACGTAACACCTTTGCTTCATTTTGTGATTGTTGAGATGTATGCTGCAGATAGAGTGTTATTCCAGTTTGCGCCTCATCAACCAATTCCTACACATATATTTGATATGTACGCGGTATATAGAATTGATACGCGTGAGAAGCATAAAGATAATTGGCCAAGGAAGCAAATTGTATACATTCAGTAATGGAACGAGCGATATTTATTTGTCCATATATGTTTCGAGATTACAACTACTGACCTTAATTTCGAAATTTCTCCTTACCTCCGAAATTATGAAGCAAATAGGAAATCATATTTAACAATATCAGAAGAGAGGGAACAATGGGAAGAAATGAAGGCCAAATATGCAAACGGCAAGAAATCATCATCATCATCAACATCTTCATCTTTTGCTTCTGCCAAATATTTTGCATCTCAGACCAATTATGGTTTTTATTCTCCATATCAAGCTTTAATGGAGAGTCAACCGAATTGGGTTGGAGGTTCATGAGATGTAATGCAAAGCGCTCAAGCATGTTCGACAAAACATTCGGGTAAATGTGATCATATTATATATGGTCAACAAGGTACTGATTTCAGTGGTCAATTTGAGTGAATGACAACAATGATGACGTCAAATATCTTAAATACTCCATCACTGAATTTTGAAGGTGGATCTCAAAGTGGAGTGATGCTCAGTAGACCTCATGTTGAAGAAGCAAACGAAGATAAAGACGATCACGGCAGTCGACTAAGACGAAATTGATTAGTCCCACGCCGTTATCATTCGACTACTCCTCGTTATCGTCAAGAATTACAAAAATATAAGTAAATTTTTTTATGGATTGTATTAGTTTGTAATAATTTTTATTATTTCGTATTAAATTATTTTTAAAATTATTTTTTGAATGTAACAAGTTTCAACAGTTATATTTTTTTAAAATTCAAAAGCTACCCATTAACCAACGGCTAATGGAATTTTAAATTCCAGAGCATTTCGTCACGTTCCAAAGTTTTTTTTTGTTTTTTTTTTATAATTTTTAAATTAATTACTAAATTTTAAAAAATTACTTTTTGTTAACGTGATGAGTTCCTGAAAATATATTATAAAATTGGCTCACATAGACGCACTTACCTGGGGTCATTAAAAATTATTTTTTGAACAAACTCGTCATGTTGGTGATATGAATTTAACCTGCATTGTAACTTTTGCCATAGTTTAAAATAAAACCATAATAGCTTATTGGACTAATTAAAATTGACACCCGGTCTAATGGAAAAAACATCACCAAGGACATGTACAATGATCCAAATGTTAGAAATTTGGAAATCCAATGTTTTTCCCACTTCACCGTAGGATGAACGTCCCCAGTGGTTACGATGTTTTCATTAGTCTGTGCTTTGGTCCTACTTGGATTTGGTTCTTTTCTACGCTCCAGCTATTTGTAACAAAATATACTCCCTCACATGATTTTGGATTATTTAACATTGTCCGAATGAAAGCATCACATAATATTATTCCAACCAAAGTATATGATATAAATATATCTATTTATGTATTTAATAAGTTTTGATTTAAAATTATTTAAAATTTCTTTTCTTTCTTTTAATATTTGTGCATCTTATTTTCTCTCTTTGATTTTTGGTTAGCTGACGGCAACACCACTTTTATTGTTGGTTGTCGATCATCGGTGATTATTATTTTTATATATTTTATGTCTTTTATCTTTTTAATTTGAGTCTTTTTAATTTTGAATAAAATTCTCTGTTCTCATGACATGATTTTCTCTGTCATTGTGGTAGTGTTTTCTTTGCCTTTGTGACACGACCCTCATGATTGTTGGTACGGGTGTTCAAATGGTTAATTCGGTCACCGGCCGAACCGAATTAACCGAGCTTTTTTTTTTCTTTAATCGTTAACCGAATCGAAATTTATTTGAAAATTATTAACCGAACCGAACAAATTTTGGTTAATTCAATCAATTTTCGAATTAACTGAAATTTTTTAAAATTTTCTAATTTATATAATAATTGAATATTTTTTAATTAAAAAAAACAATTTACAAGTAATTTAAATAATATCTAGATTTTTAATTAATTAATATTGATTTAAGTTTAAAAGTTATTAAATCTTAAATTATTAATTGAGTTTTAAATGGTTTGGGCTAAGTCTATATGTTATATATAATATATTTAATATTTAAAATTTAATTTCTATTAATTCCGTTAATTAACCGATTTCGAACCGAATTAACCGTTAACCTTATTCTAAAAAAATTATTAACCGTCCCTTGACCGAACTAATTCGGTGGTCGACCGAATTAACCAAACTAATTTGGTTTGGTCGGTTAATTCGATTAAAACCGAAAAATGAACACCCCTAGTTGTTGGTACATTTTTCGCATACCTTTGTGGTCGTTTTAGTTCTTGCACAAAAACTATTACAATATTTATTTTCTGATTGGTTAGTCAGTGATCACGTATAGTCAGATTATTTTTTTGGTAAAAGGTTGTTGGGCCATGTAATCAGATTGTGTAGCAAAGCAATTTGCCATATTATTTGGTTTGTTCTACACTCCTTTATCACTTCGCCAAGTGTCCCATTCGACAGAGACAAAGAATTTTTATGAAGATTATTAGGTTCTGATGTTGGTCGTCATTCTCATTAGAAGGTTTTAATTTTTTTTCGTATCTTTAATTTTAATTTTTTATTTTTGTATGAGTAATTTGGTAACTAACATCTCTAAATTTCTCTTTATATTTCGATACGTTGTAATTTTGATTATTTTAATTATTAATAAACTTCAGTTATCGTTTTCAAAAAAAAAAATCTAAAATCTGCCAGACGTGAGGTATATGAAGTAGATGCAGGACTACTGTACAAGGCAATTAATGTAGGAGACTATACATAAACAGATTTGACCCGCTGATTTCGGACTTTATGCTTGAAAAATTCACTTCTGTTTTGTCCTTTGTGACAGTAATCAATGCTAAATGATTATCTTAATGTGCTTCTTCTCTGCAAATTGGAACCTTCTGAATCTAAGAACAACTGGACTATTAAAAATTAAAATTGCCATTTGAGACCACTACAAAGTCAAGCAAGTAGCTTCTCTGCTGAATGGTAATCCCATGCATAACTTGAACTTCTTCTTTATTATCATTTCCCGAATTATCGTTAAAGTTCTCATCCGAAACAAAAAATGCATGTGTTGATGATCCAATCATTGACTTATCCAAGTAAAAGTGTTTCTCTGAAAGTAGAATCCAGATTGTGACTTCAAAACTAGGGAAGCTTAACAAAGTCTCGTGATTGAAACAGGCAGTCACGGATTGTTTAGTTCACGTTTATAAAATAAAATATTGGAGATGGTGGGTTCACTCGAATCAATGCAAGCCTTTGCTGCATTTTGTGCAGCACATGCGAGTGTGTGACTACAAATACTGTATTGGACAAAAGCAATCGGGGAACTTCGTATTTTCTCTGTCTACACCTCCCTTTCCCTGTGGAAAATAAATAATATCCCTGCTAAGAAACTTGTAATTTTAAAGTTGGAATCTCAGTACTTATATTTATTCGTATATTGTAAGTTATGATCTTTAGAATGAATAATCAAGATGAACCCCAAGTTCAGTTTCATTTGTTTTTTTTTACAATTACTTTTAAATACAATATTCAAGGTTTAAAATTCGAATCCTAATATTTAAAAAATCATTTTTTATCGTAAAAGTATGGGTTTTTTCCCCAGTACATGAATGAGCCAGATTTTGCGAAACACGAGACAATTATTTGCATATGATTTGGATGAAAGACATTGACGTGGTATCAGAAACTCCCAAGCTATCTTCTGATGCAAAGAAAATGACAATTCTTAACAAAATAACAAAGCAATGGACGAATGAAGTACGCAAGGCACTTGTTTTATCACGGGGGAGAGACAGAGAGAATGGTGAAGAAAGAGCTGTTTTTTCTGGCCATACAGCTACTCTCATTATACTCCATAAATAAATCTGTGTATATATGTCTCATGTGTTCATATTAATTCGTAATTATATAGATTTCTTTTCACACATTCGTGCTTATGTCCTTTCCTTTTTAAAACTCATTTTCCTTTCATCTTTGTTACGTTGCTTTTCTTTTTCTTTTTCATGGAAGATAGCAAAACTACAGCCACTGAACCGTCGCCTGCAATGTCAACACCAGGCCTCAGTACTGCAAAAAACCATAGTCATCACCTCAATCATCATCATCATCATCATTTTGATTCGATATCTCGAAACAATCAACATAACACCGGCCTTTCATTCAATTCCGTTGTCATAATCATTCTGTCACTTGTCTCAGTCGTCGTCGTTTTTGCAATCTTTGTAATTATAGTAATGTTTCGTAGACTTAAATCGGTCGGAAAAGGCGACACTTGCATCGAAAGTGGTAGCATAAACAACAGTACCAGGTTCACTGCTCATACTACTATGAACTTCGATTCTAGTCCTGGTATGTCTCCATTCTCAAAATTGAAACATCAGGTTTTTTTTTCCTATTGTTTATGAAATTTTTTGATGTTTAAATGCTTGAAATGGTGCAGATGTGAAGGCAAGGTGTCTATACGGAGGAAGCGTCCGTACATTTCAGAGTAGATACAAAGGGGTCCAAGTTTTCACTTACAAGGATCTCGAACAGGCAACCGATAACTTCAGCGAGATGAATGTGATCGGTAACGGCCGATTTGGTGTCGTGTATAGAGGAGTTCTTGCTGATGGAACCATGGCAGCCATTAAGAGGCTTCACAGAGATGGAAAGCAAGGGGAGCGTGCTTTCAGGATGGAGGTGAATTAGTTTGTTCCCCCACCCAATTTTGTTATTCTGGTTTTTAAATTCGAGCTTTAAAAATAAACTCGATGGAGCTCGTTCAAATTACTGCATTTTTGTCCTGCAGGTGGATCTACTGAGCCGCTTGAACTGCCCATACTTGGTGAGGCTACTAGGCTACTGTGCTGACCAGCAACACAGGCTTCTAATATATGAATTCATGGTCAATGGTGCTCTTCAACAGCATCTTCATCGTCCCGGTAATCAACATAGACCTTTGGATTGGGGAAAGCGATTAGTCATCGCCCTTGATTGTGCTAGAGCCCTTGAGTTCCTCCATGAACATGCTTCCCCTACTGTTATCCACCGTGACCTTAAGTGCAGCAATATATTACTTGACGAAAACCTCCGAGCCAAGGTCTTCGGTTTCGGATTGGCGAAAACAGGGTCAGATAAGATCGATGGTCAGGTTTTGACACGCGTGTTGGGAACCACTGGATATCTAGCTCCCGAGTGAGTGTTTCATCACCGTATCATGCTCATGCATCTCTGCTTCATTATTTCTCAATTAAATGACAGTGACATTGCAGATATGCTTCAAAAGGAAAACTTACAACAAAATCAGATGTCTACAGCTATGGTGTGGTGCTTTTACAGCTTTTAACAGGCCGTGTGCCTATCGACATCAACAGACCTCCCGGAGAACATGTGCTTGTTTCGTGGGTTAGTGTCTGATTCAGTTTTCTGTAATACCTCAATAGCCGCGACCGAATGTGTCATTGAAGATCAAACATTTTGATAATTTCACAGGCACTTCCAAGGTTAACAAATAGAGATAAAGTTGATGAAATGGTAGATCCAGCAATTCAAGGACAGTATACAAAGAAGGATTTAATTCAGGTAAAGTTTGCTTATGTGATATTGGTGTTTTGCTTTTGACATATGAATGAATATAAATCATCAAAATGAACAACGTACTTGTTCCACAGGTGGCTGCCATTGCTGCTGTGTGTGTGCAACCGGAAGCTGATTATCGACCTCTAATGGTGGATGTAGTGCAGTCATTGATCCCTCTGGTTAAAAATTTCAATTCCATTAATTCCACTGCTTCTTCCAGATTCCTTTGACAAATCTCCATTACCAAGCATTACTATCATTGTAACAATGTACAAAACAGCCTAATTTGTGTATCCTGTTCAAGAATTAAGTGTTGAATACGAGCATGTATCAGACGTGGGTATTATTTATTTTTTGAGAAAAATATGTTTAGTGATTCGTATCTTTGAATTTGTGTCTGAAAAAAGAGTTAGCAACAAGGGCTTGCTTCCTTGCACAAGTAAATCACCTCAGATAGCAGCTATTGCTTCTGCACTCAAATGGACTCATATCTTGCACATGATTAAGCTTCTTTACATTCATATTCTTGTATAAACTTGTAAAATGATTGATGAATGCAGTATTATTTTCCCTTCTCAGAAATCATACTTTTCGTCTGTTATCATATGTTCATTCCGCAACTTTCTAAAATTCTTGCATTACTTGAGACAAATATCAACAGATTATAGAGTTACATATTGTTCCAAAGAAAAATACATGCTATAAAATTACACTCGAGGCCACATGAATCTCGAACATAGGTAAAAAGGTCACCGAATATTCGATGCCTAATTGGTATGAGCTCGATATATCATTATCCATATCAGTCAATGCTTACCTATGGGAGATAGGCTGAAGTAGCAAAAGGAGATCAAGTTTCAACCCCTTCCCCGGAATCCTTAGTTGCAACGTCTGGTACTGCAGCAGCACTGGTTCCACCTCCGTTATTACCCTCGGATTTATTGTTCATTTTACTAATTTTACCAGCATACTTGGCAAATGCAGCAGTTAGGGCATATTTAACGTCTATTTCAGGTTCTTTTTTCCTACGTTTGGCCGTACCTTCAGTATCCTTGTCTGCTTCAATGCGTTCACTTGCAGGGCTTGGTTCAGCATCTTTGCAGACTGGAGTTTCCAGAATGGGAGGGTTACTGGAAACTGTGCGCTTGAATGGTTCATGGAAAGTGTCATGCAAGCGTTTTACCTTCCGCTCTCCTATTCCAGGACATCGAGCAAGATCTTCCATGGATGCATCCATGATACTAGACAGAGACTAAAAAAACATGATAATCAGGTCAGATAAACCAACGAATAAAACACCGGCGATTTAGATGTAAACAGCAGACGCACCCCGAATGTAGAACCAAGAGTGACCACATCAGTCTTGTTAACATGGCGAACTGTTGTAAGAGCATGATTTAGCTACAATTACGAGAAAACTAATTTCAGATTAACCATGCCAAATAAAACGTAAATAAATACTGTACATAAAATTTGGATTTAGCAGATTAGCCAATAAAAAATCATAATGTTCTACGAGACACAGAAAGTACATTTCTTCAGACCGAAGCTTCAAAAGAAGAGAACGATACCCTTGATAAGTAGTCTGTATCCATTTGGCCTTGAATGAGGTCTGCAGGCTTGTTTTCATATACTTTTATGGTCTCCAAGTAGCGGCCACATTCCTCCAAGCTAAAACCAAATCATAGCAAGAAAGTTTATTGAGAAAATTATTTTTTAATCCACTTTTTCGACTATCACAACTCGATAAAAAAAACAAATAGCATAAATAGTCTAAAGACGGGGTAAAAAGGTACAACAGCTTATCTTTTGACATAAAACTCACAAAATAAATATGATCTAACTAGGTTTAGGGTTAAAATAATTGAACAAAATGTTATTGCAACAAATGGAAGCAGTCACGGATCAATCACCATTCAGATTCATGAAGTACGTACAGCAATTATTGTTTAATGCATTGATAAATCTTCACCATACCTCCAACCACATAATAGAGTGCAATCATGAAGCAGCGCTGTTTTAGTAACTTCAAGCAAAGGCTTAACAACATCCTCCTGCAGCAAAGAAAGCTCTGAACAATGAGCAACCAAGTTCCATTTTTTTTACTTGTTTGTACAAGTCGTGAATGAGCAATTAAGTACTGATAAATATTCATGTACCACAATAGCCAGAGGGATAAAATGCCATATCTATGATGTCAAAATGCACATATTCGTGGTTTGAAATCTTAACTTGTAGGAAACCATTAAAAGGACATGAATATCAACAAAAAACGAAGATTTACCACATCAACATGGCATAACACAACACGAAGCTTGAAGTTTTTTTGTAGTTCCCTGATACGGTAATATAGGTAGTCCGGGTGCAGCAAATGATATCGAAGACTGCATCAAATAGTCAACTTAATGAGCTGAATGCATTACAGAAGCACGGTATTTAATAGATCTACCAAAGAAGACACTGAATATAAAAGAATATACTAGTCCCTTTCACTAGAAAACAAGGTTCGCTTCATCGATTAAAACCTATAGTTTCTTAAATATACTCAGAACTTGGAAGAGCACGTAATCTTATCCCAAACCCAAACTGGCTTTCAGTTCATAAAATTGCTCCTCCTTCTAGAAATTAGTGTAAATATAGAAATCATAAGCAAGATACAAAAACTACGAATACAAGTAAGACTTGTCCTATATCTTATGATGCATATGATTGCAAATTCAAATAAATAACCCATTTGTTGTTTAATTCACACAAACTGCTGGATCATGCTACTAATCGATATGGTTGTAGTTCTAACCTTAAATAGAGAGCACATGAGTTCTGACCGAGCAAGTAGTCACAAACAATATCTGCAAAAGCCCATCTCACGTTCCTGATGTGCTTGAGCAAGGGATTACCCTTCTGCATGAGGTGAGAGTACATCTACATTTTAGGCTACTATTATCAAGGTAGAAGAACCGAAGTTGCATTATTAAAAGGCTCGCAGTTTCTGTCGTAATAACAAAATTTTGTTGAAGCTAGGTTCTTCCTCAGGAAGTTTAGGACTTCAAGGTTATTAGCAATATTGTTCAGGAGAATCTTAAAAGTTAACATATTTTTAACATTGATAATAAATTGAAAACTCTATAAAATAACAGGAAGCTCTATCATATTAAAAATGAATCAAAGGAGCAAGATAATAACAAAACAGAATGAGAAAGAATCAAAGGAATGACCCGTCTACATGTACTCGAACCAGACAAGCTAAACTTCTGTAAAGTCAAATGTATTACCTAGTCATGTTGAAACAGGTAGATGGCTGATAATTAGCTGACAATTTACTCATTAAAAACTGGATAATTATACTAGTACTGAAAACAATGTAAAAATCAATGCTGCCAAAGTTATATAACATCACCTGCCTATGGCTGACAAGGATAGCATTGCGACTCAGAGACGAATTCGATGATGATGATGAAGCAACAGCAGCAGCAGGGGAAGCTGAGGCAGAGACAGCTAAAGAAGGCACATTGGCTTCACCTGTTGGCCTAAAATAGACCAAAAGTTGAAAAAAAAATACAAGCTACTTCAAATGACAGAACAGGCTCTTATGAAATCTAGTTTCCTTATCATACGAAACTCAACAAGCTAAACCAAGACTGGGAACATGAAGAACTGATCAAAGAGGTCCAACTAAAATTAAGAAACTAAAAAATTACCAATAAATCATTTCAACTTTTTTTATTAAAAAAAATTGGTCATTGGACCAAATTAAAGGGGAAAATGAAACTTGACCAAAGGGGTTCAACCAAATCAAAGAGAAAAAGATACCCACAAAAGATACAGCCAAATTCAATAGAAAGAACGACACTTTACGGTAAATTGAGCTGAATTATGAAGATTGACAGGCCTCACCTTAGTGTAGAAACAGTGGAGCTTGGAGCAGGAGGAGAGTAGAACTCAGAGGATTTAATGAAATTGAACGCTTGAGAAAAAGATTGAGAAGGAGTAAAAAGAGATGGCGGGGTTGATTTAGTCTGTGAGCTTTCAATAACTTCTTTATACGATGGAATTCCTATTACAATTTGTGTTTTCCTCTTGTTTTTGGTTTGTTCCGTTTGATATGCTTCACCTTTCTCCATCTCCTCCTCCTTCCTCGTTATCCTGCTGAATTTTTCGATACAATAAAGAAGTGAGTACCATAGGTTGAGGTTTTCGTTTGGAAGCCCACTTACCTGACTTGTGTGTAGGCTCAAACATAAGGCTCATCGGCCCGAACAAACCTTGGGTCATTTTGATGGACGCGAGTTACTCCACGTCAATACTAGAATTAGGTATCGAAATTTACAACTTTTTGGTGAAAAAGGAGGTTAAATATACTAGCTATTCAACTTCGGTGCAAGTAGCGATTGATTTACCTTCCAAAAGTGTAATTCTATTCCATTATCTCTTTTAGTTGACGGTTCCAATTTGTCAAGTTAAAAACAGTTCAAATGAATTGATTTTTTTTTTATCGAGAGAGAGAGAATCATTAAATGGAATCAAGGGGTCTAGCAGTCCAAAAAACAAATATTGGTAACGAAGGCCTGAAATCAACCGCTGCCAAAGGTTTCAGGAAGCCGAGTAAAACATATACAACAAAGCAAATAAAAACAGAGAACAACAAGAACAGGGTCGATCCTAAAGGCACCACCAGCGCTTTAAAAACCGTTCATATTCGACTTCTGAACCATTAAGATCTTAATCTCGACAGTTTCAATGGAAGAGACCCTTTTTTTCCATGAAAATCATGGTAAAAAATTAAGAATCGGACTTGATATTGATCACGCTCCAAACCAACAAGACGACTCTTCTATATCTATAATAAGTTAGTTTAATTGGATGAAATATTAGATCTTTTTAGAAAAGATTAAATTTAAAAGTTATAATCTAGATTAATCAACTTGTGATTATTCTAAAAATAAAATAAAATGATTGCACTATTCACCATGTAAATCAATGACGTTGGAAAAGGATCAAGGAGAAAGAACCAACACTGAATCCTCCTAAAAACCCTCCAAAGGCCTACGAAATTAAAATAAAAAACTCCCTCTTTTGCACGACGTGACCCCTTTAACGTCGGAGAAACAAAATAACAAACTATACATACTAACTTATCGAATATCATTTTTCAATTGAATAAGTTCCGATCATGATTGTTATCTTACATGCATTGATCTTGAAATTCAAATTAAAATTAATAAAAATTTCCAGCTAAAAATACTTTGCATTTGACATTGTACATACTACTAAAATTGTTTGGGGGCGGGGACCATTAAACCTGAGGACGGCTTGAGTCAGCCACGGGTCCAACCGGAGAACTTAAGGTTCCTTCACCATTGTATACCACCTTTGGTGATTCTACGGAAGACGCTCGATTAAAAAATGGTAGTGACATATAAAAAAACCATCGGTCCGACTTGTTGAGCCGAGTTAAAGACTTGGCTCTACTACTTCCATCATCTTCCCAAGCTCGGTATCCTTGCCGCTGACTACTTTCTTTATGCAGAACCAAGCTGGTTGCCCGGTTTAATTTCCGATTTATTAACTGATTTCGCACATCAGCCGGCAATCGTAGAGTGAATCGATCAGTATTTTCACCCGGCTGGATCATAGAGTGGCCGGTTGAATGAGATCGCGTGAAGAGAGGTTTACCCGTACGGGTCGATATTGATCCACGCGTACGGTTCCATGTTAGAGTTCGAATCAGACCAATTACTCCAACCTCTGAAGCAACTTGAGCTTCTACGTCACTGTTGACATTGTTGTTATTGTGTATCCTCCTTTCTTCTTCCGGTTCCGAGTCACTTCGGACGTTTTGAGCCTCGAGGTCTATCTCGGTGTTATTCAACTCAGTGTGTCCACTCACTGCAGGCTCACCTGTTTGAGGAGCGAGATTAGCTCTACAAACGGGACAAGTAGTATGAGAAGCCAACCAAGCGTCGATACATTCAGGATGAAAAACATGATCGCATTTAGGGATCAAACGCAGCGGTTCCTCGTCTTCGTATTCATTCAAACACACCGCGCACTCGAGAGCTCCTTTCCCAACCTTATGAACCTTAACTTCGGAGTAAACCATGGTTGGGAAAGTCTTGATCACCGACGCTTCAAGTCCACGCATCCCACGCAAAGAACTGCCGGTTCTTCCATTAACAGGGTTGACGCTGCTTCCGTTGGTGTAGTTGGAGCAGTTCCGGATGTAAATATAGAAAATACAGATGAAAAACAAAGCAGCAATCAAAACGACGAGGATCACGGTCAAGGAGGGGCTGAAACGCTCGTGAGGGGATTTCTCGCCGTATGGGGTAGTGGGTTGGGCGGCGGAAGGCGGTGTAGAGAGTAGGAAGAGAAGAAGGGCAACTATTCCACATTTGGCGGTGTACGACATGGCGGTGAGATGAGGAGCATGTGAGAGGAAAAATCAGGAAGCGAAGGTTTTTAAATCAAAGAAGAAGAAAAAGGCGGAAGGGGATATAAAATATTTTTAAGCCGTTTATATATATATATATATATATATAAACAAACGAGGGCAACCCAAAAAAACCTATACTTGTATTACAAGTAATCACCTATAAATGTAATTTTATTAAAATTTTATTTTTATTATTAGCATCATTCATAGTCAATTTGAAAGAAATACAATTAATCGATCAAAAGTATAATAATTATACAAATTTAATTTACAAAATGAAACATGTATTATATGTATCTAAGACTTATAATTATACAAATATAATTATTCAAGCAATGAAGATAACATGCATAGATAAACTCGATCTTCAACCATTTAATGAGTAAATATTTAAAAAATATATATTTAAACATAAATTATTATTTAAGAGTTTAAGGTTTAAACTTTGATCTGATTTATAAAAAAGTTGATATATTATAATATGTTTTAAGACAACGATTATTTAAATTAAAAGTTGTTGAGTGATGTTGCATTAAAATGTTTATTTATTTAAAAGATAAGTGTTTTTTTGCAATTTTTTTATTGATAAAGAAAAGGTTTCTAAAACGTGTCCACTATTTTATCGTGTTTATTGGCGCATAGTTCTAATTGATTGCTCAGTGATTGCTATAGAGTAGCCAAATATTCTAAAATTGATTTTATAAAATATTAAATCTATTCAAAAATAAATTGTCAGAAGTTAGGTCAAGAATTTAAACCCTATACTATATACGTACACCATGACCTAGATTCATGAACCCAGTCGGTTGGATCAGTGAATCAGATATACCAACTGACTCGGAGTTCTGAATTTATGAACCGAATTTATGAACAATACTCGAGAGTCATCAAACCCATTGAACCTATGTCATATCAATGAATTGGGTTCATATCTAATAAAATATTCATTTATTAGAAGTACTAAACAATCAGATATAAATAATAAAATATTTTTGTATTTAAATTAATCTAAGTTTTAATTAATTTATTTACATTTATGATTATTTTTTTATAATTAATAACCTTTGATTCATCAGTTGACTAATTTGAAATGAATTGTTTATAATTTATATTAATTGATATTTATACAGTTATTTCTCTGCTCATATTTGCATTACAAAATATAAATTAACAATATTGTATTAGTTAAATAGTAATGAGGATTGAGTGGGATTCGTAACGTTAGTTGAATTGATAGGTTGTTGAATGTGGTTAGTGAAATGGGTTTTAGTTTAATGTCATTGTAATTGACTTTAATCTCAAGTTGACGATCTAATAAGACTATCACACATTTTGGTTGAAGAATTATATAATTAATTTTGTCTACTATCCATGGGAAGGTTCTAGATCAAGTTATAAACTAAACTATTTTTTATTGAAGCGTTTTTCTGAGTAGACGTATAATTAAGTATAAACAATATATATTAAATAATTATTACTAGAATATAATAAATAAAATATATATAGATTAAATTTATAAAAGGTAAAATTTAAATAATTCAATTTAAAAATAAAACAATCTAAATAGTGTATATAAAGAAATTCAAATCTCAGAAACTTGATGCTAATTAGAAGTTCTATAGTGCGACAACCTTAATATATGACTAAAAAAGGTGGTATCGATTTTATTATTATTTAAATAATCGAACCGATAAAAAATAACCTAAAACATTATTATTTCTACCTAAAACATTAATGTTTTTTAACATTTTTGATAAAATGCTAACAATAACAAAACCGATAAAAAAAATAACAAAACCAGTAGCGTTTTACCAATTTTGTTAAAAAATTCGATAAAATGTCTGTTGAAATGCACCGAAAAAGGGCATTAATTTAGTCAAAAAAAAGGGAGGTAGGCACCGAATTTTGCAATGTCAAAATTAGGTGAAAAATTGTTGAAAATTAAATGGGTAAATTACAATTTTAGTCATTGTAATTTTAGGATATTTACAAGATTAGTCTTTAAGTTTCAACTATAAATACCCTAGCTCATTTAGCTTCAAAACCATCTCAAAGCATTCTAGCTTTCTTCCAATACTAGAGAGAATTTAGAGAGTTTCTTGAGAGTTGTTTTCTCCTTTTTATCGAGAGAGAATTATCATTGTTTTCTCCTTGGTAGATCGATAGAGGTTGTAATTCCTATTTTCTCATAGTGAAATTCTTCTACCGTTGCCCGTGGTTTTTACCCTATTTTATTTAGGGGTTTTCCACGTAAATTTTGTGTCTTTTTTTATCTTCATTTTTATTTTCTCAAATTATCAGTTGCGATTTTGCTCTATCCGATAGCCGTATTCCGCAACAATTGGTATCCGAGCTAGATTAGAGTGTGTAATATCTGCTTATTGTCTTTGTGGTTGCTACCAAAAGGTGGATCCTCCAACATAAGAAAATAAGAAGTTATTACCCATTCTTTGAAGGTTCCAAAGAACTATACACGATAGTGAAATAGTGGGAGCTATCCGTAGAAGAAGCTATGGCAACAAAATTTGATATTGAAAAATTCAATTGGAGAAATTTCTCATTGTGGAAATTGAAGATGAAGGCCATCCTAAGGAAAGACGGGTGTCTAGCGGCTATCAATGAAAGGCCGGTGGAATTCGCAGATGACATCAAATGGAACGAGATGGACGGGAATGCTATGGCAAACTTTCATCTAGCATTAGCAGATGAAGTATTGTCAAGCATCGAGGAGAAGAAGACAGCTAAGGAGATATGGGATCATCTCACCAAATTGTACGAGGCCATATCGCTGCACAATACAATTTTTCTTAAGAGAAAGTTGTACACTCTCCGTATGCCAGAATCTACTTCAGTGACGGAGCACTTAAATACACTGAACACCTTATTTTCTCAGCTTACATCCTTAAGCTGTAAAATAGGAGAACAAAAACGTGCTGAACTTCTACTTCAAAGTCTACCGGATTCGTACGATCAACTCATCATCAACTTGACAAACAGTAATGTCACCAGTCTAGTCTTCGATGACGTTGCAGCTGCTGTTCTACAAGAAGAAAATCAGCGCAAGAACAAGGAAGACAGACAAGTAAATCTGCAGCAAGCAGAAGCGTTGACAACGATGAGAGGGAGATCAACAGAACGTGGCCAAAGCATCAGTCATAAACATGGTAGATCGAAGTCGAGGAGCAAGAAGAATTTAAAGTGCTACCACTGTGGAAAGAAGGGTCACTTGAAGAAGGATTGTTGGAGTCTAAATAAAAACTCCAATCTACAAGGCAATACCGCAAACATTTCAGATGATGGAGACGCTCTATGCTGTGAAGCGTCAACCACCGTGGAAGGCAGAAAAAGATTTACAGATATATGGCTCATTGATTCGGGAGCGACATATCACATGACCTCAAGAAGAGAATGGTTCCATCATTATGAACCTGTCTCAGGAGGATCTCTGTATAGTTGCAATGATCATGCCTTAGAGATCGTTGGTGTGGGAACCATCAAATTAAAGATGTATGATGGAACAATTAAAGTTGTTCGAGATGTGCGGCACGTGAAAGGTCTGAAGAAAAATTTATTATCCTACGGATTGTTGGATAATAATGCAAGCAATATTGAAACACGAAAAGGAATCATGAAAGTGTTCCGTGGAGCGCTTGTGGTACTGAAAGGCGAAACAATAGCTGCAAACTTGTACATGCTGAAGGGAGATACTTTGGTAGAAGCAGAAGCCTCTGTTGCCTCATGTAGTTCAGATTCGGCAATGCTATGGCATCAGAAACTTGGACACATGTCAGAACAAGGAATGAAAGTCCTTGTAGAGCAAAAGCTACTTCCAGGCTTAACAAAGGTATCACTTCCTTTGTGTGAGCATTGCATAACAAGTAAGCAGCACCGGTTGAAATTCAACACATCAAATTTTAGAGGCAAAAGTGTTCTAGAATTGGTTCACTCTGACGTATGGAAAGCACCAGTAACGTCCCTAGGTGGAGCAAAATACTTTGTCTCATTTATTGATGACTACTCTAGGAGATGTTGGGAGCACCCTATTAAGAAGAAGTCAGACGTGTTTTTAACTTTCAAAAACTTCAAAGCGCGGGTGGAACTTGATTCTGGAAATAAGATCAAGTGTTTCAGAACAGATAATGGAGGAGAATACACAAGCGAAGAATTTGATGACTTTTGCAAGAAAGAAGACATTAAAAGACAGTTCACAGTGGCGAACACTCCTCAACAAAATGGAGTGGCAGAGCGGATGAACAGAACCTTGTTAGAAAGAACAAGAGCAATGTTGAGGGACGCAGGCCTAGAAAAATCATTATGGGCAGAAGCAGTCAATACCGCCTGTTATTTGGTGAATCGAGCTCCATCAACTGCAATAGAGCTGAAGACACCAATGGAGATGTGGACTGGTAAACCAGTTGATTATTCAAACCTCCATGTATTTGGAAGTATTGTGTACGTGATGTACAACTCCCAAGAAATTTCAAAGCTGGATCCAAAATCCAGGAAATGCAAATTCTTGGGGTATGCTGATGGAGTAAAGGGGTATCGCTTGTGGGATCCCACTGCCCGCAAAGTGATCATTAACAGGGATGTTATCTTTGTAGAAGATAAACTACAAAGAAAAGAAGACGATGATAGTGCTGAAAAGTCAGAGACTACTCAGATACACGTGGAAAAAGAGTTTGAAGAAGGAGATTCTTCTGAAGCAGAACCAGCACATGATGAACAAGAACCAGAGAGTTCTGAAGCTCCAACAACTCGTCAATCAGATCGTGTGAGAAGACGTCCCAATTGGCACTCAGATTATGTTATAGAAGGTAATATTGCATACTGCCTTTTAACAGAGGACGGTGAGCCATCAACATACCAGGAGGCAATAAACAGCTCAGATGCTTCACTATGGATGATGGCGACGCAAGAAGAAATCGAAGCCCTTCATAAAAAATAATACATGAGACCTTGTGCCACTACCACAAGGAAAGAAGCCAATTAGTAACAAATGGGTTTTCAAAATCAAGCGAAATGGTGACGATCAAGTGGAGAGGTATCGTGCAAGACTGGTGGT